TTATCTTTTGGTCTCTAATATATATATATATATATAATTTTTTAGAACACGTTTGTGTGATTAAAATATATAATATCGAGATTTATTTTTTAAAATTATCATATTTTTCTGCTTTTAAAAACTTCGATTTAGAATAATTGATTTATTTAATCCATAAAAACATAGATATAATTTCAATTTTCAGTTAAATTTTTTATTATTTAACAAATTAGAAAAAACTATTGATTTATATCATTTGAACAAGAATATTTTAAGAGCTCGAGTCGAAATTGGCTTATTTACATATTATTATTATTAGAGAAAAGAAAATGCATTGACAACTTGATAACAGATACAAGAAAGAGACAGATAATAGTATTGAGCACATTAAAATTTTATTAACCTAGATGTAATGGAGATAAAGAAGAATGAAATTAGAGAGAATGAAAATTTCGAAACAAAGCTCTTTGAATTAGCAACGTTTATAATATCACGATCGATATTCGATGAATATTTATCTTAATTGACTAAAACTACCAATGAAAATAAAATAAAATAACTTCAATTTATTATTACATAATTTTGTTTTAGTAATCATGATATAAGTAAACAGTAAGTAATATTTGTCGAGAATTAAGGGACCCCTTGATTACTTTATTTAATGGTTACTTACTTTATTTAGGAGGGACTTATTAAATTCTATATATATCACCAACACTCGTAGAAATTAATTTCAAGACGAAGGCGAAAGTAAATTTGGCCTTCAAATGCATCGGTCATAATGGTGGCAATTCCTCTATGCATGAAGAAATCTCCGGTGCCACCAATGACGGAGATATCTCTAGTATTCTGCAAGATGGGGTCAGCACCAGCGAAAGTTATGGTTCCCTTATGGTGTGTGCTATTAAGAACGAAGGTGAATCCAAGCCAGGAGGTGTAAGTGTTGTAGGTGTCGTAAATGTAAAAGCCTTGTGCCCTTCCAACGGGTTTGGAGCGAAGGTTGTTGTCCAATGTGATGGGGTCATCGAAAACCACTATGTTTCCAAAGTGGAATTGCCCTCCCAACTTTGTTAAGTTACCACCTTCTGGAGCTGCCACTATTGCCGACGTGGCATTGCCACCATTGGTTCCGTCGTAAATGATGTCGTGGAAGAAGAGGACCATCTGCTTGCATGCTGTGTGGTTTCTCTTCTCGCTGCCTGATGAACATAAAGCAAGCAATGTGAAGAAAATGAAGACAGAAATTACTTTTTCCCCCATTATTTCCTTGGAAAAGTTATGTAGTTATGTGAGGTTCTAGTGTCCTTTTATAAGGAATCCAGTTTCCAACTTCTTGCTTGGAACAAGTTTAATAAATGAAAAAGAGGAAAAGGATAATTTGTTTGTACATGTCATTTCATTACGTCCGCAATGATATTATGCATCGCTATCTATATCACACAAGACTTTTTTGGTCATGTTAAATTACAAAGGATAAAAAATAAGTGGACACAAAGCCTCTTGTTAACATCTTAAGTAGGAAAAAAAAAACTAAATAAATTAGGTGACAATACGATATCATCCAAAATTAAATAAAAAAATATAGTTAAATTACATTCTTTGTCGTCTATAATTTGTAATATGTATATACAATCTTGATTCCAATATCAATTAAACTGTGATGTGATGTTATCATAGTACATAAATATAGGACTCATTTATAAAATGCTAAAAGATGATCATATAAGACCTATTACAACTTATGACGAGCATTATAAAATTCATCATTTAAACTACTAATTCACTTAATTTTTATATAAAATAATTTTATAATTATCCGTCAATTTGAATGAATGAAACGAAGTATTAAATGATTTTCAAATTTTCTAAAAATTTGCAGATTTAATTTATGCATTAAGAACTTTAAATTGAACGGTTAGATCGTTGAAATTTAATGTAGAATATGAGTTATTGAACGGAATAAGTTTAGGTAGACTTAATCCTGGAATAAAATGATCCTTCTTGTAAAATTTTTTTACACTGACAACTAATCAAATCTGTTAATAGCATTTTTTTATTTTAATTTAATTAAATGAGCAAATGACATGACACTATTAATAGATTTAATTGGTTACTAGTGTAAAAAAACTTTACACTGAGAATATATATGTGATTAACTCTATATATATTACGTTTACTATCCGCTAAACTTTTGTCAACCCTGTTCTTGTTATTTCTCTGTTTAGGTACCTTGTATTGTATAAACGAGGCAAGGTTAAAGCAAGTTTTCAATCTTTGCACAAGCATGCTTCGTAAAGTGCAATAATTAGTCCAGCATAGAAAACCATATGATTCTTGCTTTAATTAAGCAATATTTTCATTATTTTAATTTTATATATTATCCATGTTTTAATTAATATTATTTAATTTATTGGCCATTTTAATACTAAACTTAACGGTTAAATAACTCAAAGATCTAAAATAAACAAAAAAAAATACAAAAACTAAAATAAAACAAAGTGATATTCACATGAATTTAAAATATATTGTTTTGTAATAATTATTGTTATAATTATGAATGACAAATTATGATTGTTTGACAATGCAACACTTCTTATAGTATCAATATTTATTCTATTTTCTCTTTTTAAAGCACTAACTTATAGATTTACATATGAAACAAAGGTTAACAGACTTGATTGGTTGTCAGTATAAAAAAACTTTACACTTGCAGTGTATAGGAGATTAACTCATTTTTTAATAGTGCATTTTTTATTTTAATTTAATTAAATAAGTAAATGACATGATACTATTAAAAGATATGATTGGTTGCTAGTGTAAAAAAACTTTACACAATATATAAATAATTAACTCTTATTTAAAATTACAAATTTTTTAAGTTGCATAGCTACTGTTTAGTTGCACTAGTGTAATTAATAATGTTTCGAAAATTATATTTTTTTTTCATGGATATAGTTCATGTATTATTTCAAAATTGATAACTATAATTTAATTTGTGATTTGGTTTTCATTGATTAATTATTATTTTATTCACATATTTATTGAATTTATATTAATAAATAATATTACAAACGCAATTAAGAAAAAATCAGCACCCTTCTTTTCCTTTTCACGCAGTCTCATTCCGTTTTACCCGTTATTTTTTTTCTTCTTTCCGTCAAGTTTACGTGTAAACCTCAAATTTAATGAATCATGAATAAAAAAAAGCACAAATTTATTCGATTCAAGTATATTGTTATACATTAATGATGCTCGAAAAAGGAAGATAGGAAAACAAAAAAAAATTATACAGTGGCCCTAAAATGTATTTTTAATTTCGGTAAAATGAGCAAATTTAGATTTTAAAAATTTTCTTTTGTGTATCATTTTTTAAAAACTTTATAAATATTATTTTTGGTCCTTAAAAATGATCAAATTTTGATTTTAGTTTAGTAGTCCCTGAACAAATTTTTTTGACTTTCATCCCTTAAAATATAAAGTCATTATACAGTGAAATAAATTTAAAAAAAAACATTATTTAAACATAATTTATTATAAAAATCAAAATAACAAAAATGTGATTTTAACTTAAGACTTTATACATATTAAAAAATTTTATGGCTAAATCAATCCTGTGAATTATATACATTTATCCAATGAATATCCTTATCATATATTTTTTTTTATAAAATTTAGTAACTTAATTAGTTTGTTCATTAAGATTAAAAAATTAGTTAATTCAGTTAATAATATTAAATTTATATATTTTTCTTAAAATACTCTTAACAGTTAACACTAATGAAACTCTCACTCTATTAACTATTTTTATTAAATTAAAAACAACTTTAATTAAAAGTATTTATTGTAAAGAAAATAATTAATACAATAGAAATTTTATATATCAATTCTTTTAATAGCACGTTTAATTTAAGTTATAAAGTGAAAAAATAGAAGAAAAAAAATAAGAATATTTAGAATTATTACTTAATAGTTGATTTCATTTTATTGTGATGGCAATGAGATCCGGTGCGAGGTTGGTGGTGTTAGGTATATCTTGATTTTAGTGGCAAGTGAAGTCGCTTTAATAAGGGTTGGTGAGTCGTGCTTTATTATTCACCGTTGCAAATTCCACAGATACCCAGAACCACAAAACATTGGGCCCCGTTTTTAAATCGATTTCTCTTCATCCACCAGCAATTATATGTTAACTAATCTAAGACGGCTCTATTATATGTTTAGTTATGTTATTCCACTTAATAATGTTCCTAGAACGCTGAATTGGTTTTTATTTTTGGGTGTGTACCGTAGAATTTAATTACTATTTTGAGATTTTTGTAACTTTAGTCATTTTTAATATTAAATTGCTCTCAAACTTAATGTTGTGTAATTACCAAAAACACCTTAATGGTGTGATTGTTGCCCTCTTAATTCACCAACCGCACATGATTTCTATCCAAAAACAAGACAATGAACAACAACATAGCAAGAATCTTCACAACAATCGACAACCTTGAGCACATTATGAAGTTGATTGCATGTTACAAAGTCGGTTATGTACATTACAAACAGAAACTCTAGGCTCTACATTAGGAGAATAACGACATTTGCTCAAGAATTAACATTCTAACAATGACGGAGTATACGACCTCCAAATCGACCCGAGACATTTGTGCTGCAAAGAACTTCTAACCTAACAAGGAGAGTCATTCCCCTCCTTGAGTTTTCCTAGGACAGCTCGTCAACAAATAATGTCTTCATCACTTCAGCAACAATATCACTATATCGAGCTTAACAAACAACGCCTACAAAATAAGCACCCCAAGACAAGCCGAAATGAACATGCCACTGATAAACATCAAAATAGGTTAAATCTATAATTTTACAATGAGAAGCTAAATTGAGGAAGTTATTATGTTTCATTGCATACTGGGTGTTATTATATTATTCCATGATACGACACCAATATACTACTAGCTGCATACATACATGAAGTTTCAAAATTGACAATCTCCTCGCTCAGTGCCAGATTGACCAAGACATCGACTATTGAAACTCCATCAATAATATAGACTTCAACCACAATATGGCTGGTAACAAGATGGACAACACCACCTCAACAACAAACCTCAACAATTTCTTCTGCTACAACAACCTGGACACTCATCTTAAGCACATAAGTTTCTTTATTCAAGTCAGCAACTTCCTCGACCTCGACCACTACCACTGGCCCTTCAAGAATGGTCTTTGTCTCCTCACCCTCATCCTCATCAAGAATGTCAATCTCATTCACAATAAAAATATCAAAGTCAATAATCAACTTACCGCAAAGGAAATCTGGTGCAAAGAACACCACCTAGTGAATAACTTATTGAAAGCCTTTTGCATGCTCCTCGCAAACAACTTCCTCCATCGCCAAAATCTTCTTGTCTAGATCCTTCTCCTCGCCAAAAGGTTGTCCCATTCAAAGGGCAAGAGCACCTACCTCGTGAGTAAGCTTCCCATGATTCATAGGGACATTATCTAGTTCAGCAACAAGCTTAACCACTTTAGTAGAATAAACTTCAATCTCCTCCAACATCCTTTTATTCTCACCCTTAAGGCGAGCACACATCATTGTCGACATGGTTGCATCAACATATAAAGCCTCTAACTCGGTAGTCAACAACTTGATCTCGTCATCCTTGAGAGCGAGGATAGATTACCCACCCTGTCAACAAACTCATCACACTCTTACAACTAGGGGTGGTGGGTATATGGACTCATGTTCGCGAGGTGGCCCATGAAACCCATGGTCGGCACAATTAACAAACCTATTTTTAGAAAAATCCACATAATTATAAGAGAAATTAAGTTTGACTTGTAAAGTGTGGGTATTTTGTTGACTTAATCCGCAAAACTCATGGGTCAACCCATTTAAGAAAATTATTTTTTTCTTAACTTTATGATAAATTTTTAATAATGAGTAATTTTTATATATTGTTAATAAATAAGCACAAGTAATAAGTATTGAACTTAGTATATTTATATTTAAAATATATTACACTTTTGCTACCTTAATATGTTTTAGATTTTTTTTATGTATAAATATGTTTTAGATTAAATGTATAATTTTGATATGTTAATATTTTAATATTTTAGTTTAAGTGCGTAAGTTTTTTTTTGTAAGTTAAGACTTTCATAATTTTATTTTTATTTTTACTTGTTTGATATTTATATTTTTATATAATTTTTTTTATGTATTTCTCCCTTATAGATTCTTGCACAAAAAAGGAAGGAAAACA